CCATTCTGTAGGTTGCCTGTTCACTCTGATGATAGTTTATTTTGCTGTGCAGAAGCTCTTTAGTTTAATTAGATCCCATTTGTCAATTTTGGCTTCTGTTGCCAATTGCTTTTGGTATTTTTTAGTCATGAAGTATTTGCCCATGCCTGTGTCCTGAATGGTATTGCCTAGGTTTTCTTCTAGGGAGTTTATGGTTTTAGGTCTTGCATTTAAATCATTAATCCATCTTGAGTTAATTTTTGTTTGAAGTGTAAGGAAGGGATCCAGTTTCAGTTTTTGGCATATGGTTAGACAGTTTTCCCAATACCATTTGTTAAATAGGGAATCCTTTCCCCATTGCTTGTTTTTGTCAAATTTGTCAAAGATCAGATGGTTGTGGATGTGTGATGTTATTTCTGAGACCTCTGTTCTGTTCCATTGGTCTATATAGCTGTTTTGGTTACTGTTGCCTTATAGTATAGTTTGAAGTCAGGTAGTATGATGCCTCTAGCTTTGTTCTTTTTGTTTAAAATTGTCTTGGCTATATGGGCTCTTTTTTGGTTCCATATGAAATTTAAAGTATTTTTTTCTAATTATGTGAAGAAAGTCTATGGTAGCTTGATGGGAATAGCACTGAATCTATAAATTACTTTGGGCAGTATTGCCATTTTCACAATATTGATTCTTCCTATCCATGAGCATAGGATGCTTTTCCATTTGTTTGCATTCTCTCTTACTTCCTTGAGCAGTGGTTTGTAGTTCTCCTTGAAGCGGTCCTTCACATCCCTTGTAAGTTGTATTCCTAGGTATTTTATTCTCTTTGTAGCAATTGTGAATGGGAGTTCACTCATGATTTGGCACTCTGTTTGTCTATTATCGGTGTATAGGAATGCTTATGATTTTTGCACATTGATTTTGTATCCTGAGACTTTGCTGAAGTTGCTTATCAGCCTAAGGAATTTTTGGGCTGAGGTGATGTAATTTTCTAAATGTATGATCATGTCATCTGCAAGCAGAGATAATTTGACTTCCTCTCTTCCTATTTGAATACCCTTTATTTCTTTCTCTTGCCTTAATGCCCTGGTCAGAACTTCTAATACTACGTTGAATAGGAGTGGTGAAAGAGGACATCCTTGCCTTGTGCTGGTTTTCAAAGGGAATGCTTCCAGCTTTTGTCCATTTAGTATGATATTGGCAATGGGTTTTTCATAAATAGCTCTTATTATTTTGAGATACATTCAATCAATACCTAGTTTATTGAGTGTTTTTAGCATGAAGGGGTTTTGAATTTTATTGAAGGTCTTTTCTGCACCTATTGAGATAATCATGTGGTTTTTGTCATTGGTTCTGTTTATGTGATGGATTGTGTTTATTGATTTGCATATGTTAAACGAACCTTGCATCGCAAGGATGAAGCCAACTTGATCATGGTGGGTAAGCTTTTTGATGGGCTGCTGGATTCGGTTTGCCAGTATTTTATTGAGGATTTTCATATCCATGTTCATCAGGGATCTTGGCATGAAATTTTCTTTTCTTCTTGTGTCTCTGCCAGGTTTTGGTATCAGGATGATGCTGACTCATAAAATGAGTTAGGGAGGAGTCCCTCTTTCTCTATTGTTTGGAACAGTTTCAGAAGGAATAGTATCAGCTCCTCTTTGTACCTCCGGTAGAATTCAGCTGTGAATCCATCTGGTCCTGGGCTTTTTTTGGTTGGTAGGCTATTAATTACTGCCTCTATTTCAGGACTTGTTATTGGTCTATTTAGGGATTCGACTTCTTCCTGGTTTAGTCTTGGGAGGATGTATGTGTCCAGGAATTTATCCATTTCTTCTAGATTTTCTACTTTATTTGCATAGAGGTGTTTATAGTATTCTCTGATTGTAGTTTGTATTTCTGTGGGATTGGTGGTGATATCCCTTTATCATTTTTTATTGTGTCTATTTCATTCTTCTCTCTTTTCTTCTTTGTCTGGCTAGTAGTCTGTTTTCAAAAAACCAGCTCCTAGATTCATTGATTTTTTGAAGGGGTTTTTGAGTCTCTATCGCCTTCAGTTCTGCTCTGATCTTAGTTATTTCTTGTCTTCTGCTAGCTTTTGAATTTGTCTGTTCTTGCTTCTCTAGTTTTTATAATTGTGATGTTAAGGTGTCAATTTTAGATCTTTTCCACTTTCTCCTGTGGGCATTTATTGCTATAAATTTCCCTCTAAACACTGCTTTAGCTGTATCCCATAGATTCTGTTACGTTGTGTCTTTGTTCTCATCAGTTTCAAAGAATATCTTCATTTTTACCTTAATTTTGTTATTGACCCAGTAGCCATTCAGGAGCAGGTTGTTCTGCTTCCGTGTAGTTGTGCAGTTTTGAGTGAGTTTCTTAATCCTGAGTTATAATTTGATTGCATTGTGGTCTGAGAGACTGTTTGTTATGATTTCCCTTCTTTTGCATTTGCTGAGGAGTGTTTTACTTTTAATAATGTGTTCAATTTTAGAATACGTGTGATATGGTGCTGAGAAGAATATATATTTTGTTGATTTGGGGTGGAAAGTTCTGTAGATGTCTATTAGGTCCACTTGGTCCAGAACTGAGTTCAAGTCCTGAATATTCTTGTTAATTTTCTGTCTCATCAATCTATCTGCCATTGGGGTGTTAAAGTCTCCCACTATTATTGTGTGGGAGTGTAAGTCCCCTTGTAGGTCTCTAAGAACTTGCTTTATGAATCTGGGTGCTCCTATATTGGGTGCATATATATTTAGGATAGTTAGCTCTTCTTGTTGCATTGATCCCTTTACCATTATGTAATGGCCTTCTTTGTCTCTTTTTGTGTTTGTTGGTTTAAAGTCTGTTTTATCAGAGACTAGAATTGCAACCCTTACTTTTTTTTGCTTTCTATTTGCTTGGTAAATCTTCCGCCATCCCTTTATTTTGAGTCTATGTGTGTCTTTGCACATGAGATGGGTCTCCTGGATATAGCACACTGATGGGTCTTGACTCTTTATCCAATTTGCCAGTCTGTGTCTTTTAATTGGGGCATTTCGCCCATTTACATTTAAGGTTAATATTGTTATATGTAAATCTGATCCTGTCATTATTATGCTAACTGGTTATTTTGCCCATTAGTTGATGCAGTTTCTTCATAGTGTTGACAGTCTTTACATTTTGGTATGTTTTTGCAGTGGCTAATACCAGTTTTTCCTTCCCATGTTTAGTGCTTCCCTCAGGAGCTCTTGTAAGGCAGGCCTGGTGGTGACAAAATCCCTAGTATTTGCTTGTCTGTGAAGGATTTTATTTCTCCTTCCCTTATGAAGCTTAGTTTGGCCGGATATGAAATTCTGGGTTGAAAGTTCTTTTCTTTAAGAATGTTGAACATTGACTTCTACTCTCTTCTGGCTTGTAGAGTTTCTGCAGAGAGATTCACTGTTAGTTTGATGGGCTTCTTTTTGTGGGTAATCCGACCTTTCTCTCTGGCTGCCCTTAACATTTTTTCCTTCATTTCAACCTTGGTGAATCTGAAAATTATGTCTCTTGGGGTTGCTCTTCTTCAGGAGTATCTTTGTGGTGTTCTCCATTTATCCCAAATTTGAATATTGGTCTGTCTTGCTAGGTTGGGGAAGTTCTCTTGGATATTATCCTGAAGTGTGTTTTCCAACTTGGTTCCATTCTCCCCATCACTTTCAGGTATACCAGTCAAACGTAGGTTTGGTCTT